TTTCGACCTCGGCGCTCCCCCAACGCGTGGGTCCTTCCCGCGTGCCAGACTGCACCCCGTCACCTCCTCCCCAAAGTTCAAAATCAACTCCGAGAGTAACGCCGCCTCTTCTGAACCGTCCAAATCAAAGACGGGTCTAAGGTGCGGCAGATGCCATCTGTGGGCACGCCGCCCCTGCACCTGTGCACCTGAGGCCTCTGCCTCCAGAGGACAGTGGGGTGGGTGCAAGACAGACGTTTCCTGCAGAGAAGAGACTGGAGGGAGAGAAAGAATAATGGTCCCCAAGCGAGTCCCACACTCAGGAGGGGAGACTCCGTCAGTTCTCCAAAGGCTTGAAAGTCGGCCTGACGCGCTCCGGGCAATGACCCTGCCCAGCAGACTCGGGGAGAGTCGGCCGTGCACCTTGGATGTGGGAAGGAGGGAAGGAGGCCCCTGGGCCCCAGGCTTCAACCTCCAACCTTGAGGCTCATGGGGCAATCACCCTGTGCCCTCAGCTCTGAGCAGCGCCCCCTCCCCTGGCACGCCTTGATGGAAACCCACCTCCTCGACACAAGTTGGCTGAAGGGCTGGCTCTCGGAGACCCAGGAGGCCGGGGGCCAGCCTCTGAAGCCCAGAAGCCCGGCTCCCCAAGCTCCTTCAGACATTTGTGCTCACCTCCACGCTGCTCCAGGGGAAGTCTCTGCTTCCCTTGAGGGATGAGAGATACCACTCCTTTGTCTTGTGCCGCCTGTCGTGCGCCAGCAAGGCAGCCTTCCTCCTTCCGGCCTTTCTGGCCTGCCTCCGTCAGGGCCGGCGGGTTTGGGCTGTGCTCCTTGCTTAGAGCCGTCCCTGCAGAAGACCGTGCAGGCATGCCCTGGGTGAAAATCTCAGAGCTCGGGTCCTGAGTTTGCAGAACAGAATTTTCTAAATCCTTCGCTTCTGTTTTCGTCTTGCCCCACCCACTTCGAAGTCCTTCTCTTTCCCGTGTACTGCGTGTGGCAAGGAGAGGCCAGGGCCCCTCTGGGATCGTGACGAGAAATTCCCACAGCCAAGGTTCAAGGACGTATTTTCATGCTGGGCCTCCTATCAGAGGTTCAGACAAGCTCCCCGCTGTCCCACATGCCCACCTCTCCTCCTGAGGCCCCCCTCAAGCACATCCGTGTCCACATGTCTGGTAGCATTCTCTCACGGCACCATGTGCCTTCTCTGAGAGGACAGACAGTCCCTCCAGCTCTCCCCACTTCCTTCTGAGCCCTGACCAGACCTGCCGCTGGCATCCACAGTCTCTTGGGCAGTCTGACCTTTACTGTCAGATACTGTTTACTGTCTGAACATTCTTCCTGCCTCCACCCATGGCCCGCCTCCAAGCTGCCACCGCGGGGCAGGTATTTGTCAGAGCAGCACCCCGCTCTCAGTACCAAATGCTGTCTTGGTTCGCTGAGGACAGAGCACCACAAGTGGATAGCTTTGACAAACCTAGCGTTGTCTTCTCTTAGCGTTGAAGGAGGCCAGAGGTCTCAGGTC